TTTTTTTTAATTTTTTTTTAATTTTTTTTTTTGCTCAGACATATGAGTGAGGACATACGGTATTTCTTTTTCTATGCCTGGCTTTTTTTTACTTAACATGATTTTCTCTAAGTTCATCCGTGTTGTTGTGAATGACAGTGTTTCTTTCTTTTTCATGGCAGAGTAGTATTTCATTGTGTAAATATAGCACATTGTCCTTATCTGGTCATCCGCCAATGGACATTTATGTTGGTTCCAACACTTGGCTATTGTAAATAGAGCTGCAGTAACCCTGGGAGTGCATGTGTCACTTGGACATGATGACGTCCATTCCTTTGTTTATATACCCTGCTGGGTCATATGACAGTTCTGTCGGTAGTTGCTTGAGAAAATTCTTATAATTTTCCTTAATGGCTGTACCAATTTACAGTCCCACCAACAGTGGCTCCACTTTCTCTGCATCCTCACCAGCATGTGTTGATCTCTATCCCTTTGAAAATGGCCAGTCTAACTGGGATGAGATGNGCCCAGTACTACTTTCTGAAGTGTTTCCTGTATGTTTTCTTTTAGGAATTTTATAGTTTCAAAATGTATGTTTATGTCTTTATTCTCTTTTGAGTTGACTTTGGAATATGGTGAGAGGTACGGGTCTAGTTTCATTGTAAAGCATGTAGTTTAGACTCTCATTACCTGTATTTAAAAAGAAAAAAAAATTCTGCTTGAAATAGCTAGAGTGACTACTTTTTTTGTTGAATAAATCCCAACAAATGTCATAACTCAAACTCCTCAGATGTTATGATCTCTGTTCTTCAAAAAACTGGGAAAGACACTGTCATGTCTGTGCTGCTGGGGCTGAGGAGAAAGAAGGAGGGTTAGGGTTCAGAGGAGCCTCCCTGACCCTTCTATCAAAACCTTCCAGTGACCTTCAGAGCATGGCTGCATCTGAGAAACACTCTCATCAGATGGAGGCACCAGGAGGGGCAGCTGGGGAAGCCACAGCCTCACACTTCTGCTTCCCTGGGGGGTTTATGATCGGGCTTGTAACACTGTGGGAGGGTTACTATTATGCTGTTGACAGTAATAGGTTCCAAAATCATCAGACTCCAGGCTGCTGATGGTAAGAGTAAAATCTGTCCCAGATCCACTGCCACTGAACCTTGAGAGGACCCCACTTTCCAAACTGGATGCATCATAGATCAGGAGTTTAGGAGCTTTACCTGGTTTCTGCTGATACCAAGCTAACCACTTGCTAATACCCTGA